GTAAGCCAAAACTTTATCTCCCTGATTTAACTATATGATGCTCTAACTAGTGAAATATAATATACCGTTGACCTGGATATTAGTCTTCAATATCACATTAACCGTACGTGGGGGGGGTGTACGCAAATAATCGTACGCCCCCGGATGTATCTTTTATCGTACACCCGGGGTGTAAGTTAAGGACACCCTTAATTTAATTGGAAGAGGCGTAAACCTTGAATAAAACTGTAAATAACCCGTGAATTACAAGTTTATTCAAAGAGTGGTTGAGTCACTAAATCATACGCAGTGGTCGATGTTAATATTATAGATTGACTTCATTAATAACCAATTGTTGTCTTCATACCTGCAGCTGAATCCAAATCATAGCTATTTCTTGGTTTAGGCAAATCTCCAATAGGTAGGCGCTTACTAGAGTATTTACTTTCCTTTTCGAGACGTGATAAGGGTTTTACATCATTATAATAAACGGCATTCCATATGTCAGAATTGTCCTCGTCAATAAGCTCTCTAATATCAACATAAAGTCCCTGTGCATCTGGACGCTTATCAGGATCAGCATCACAACACCGCTCAGCAAGTTTCTTGTATTCCTCTGGTGCGGAATCGGGCATCAATGGTCGTAGTCCGCCCATAATATTGCATACTAAATCTCTATTGAACTGCCTATCTCTAAAAGGTGGTTCACCAGTAGCAATCAAATACATAATGATACCAAAAGAATACACATCAGATTTTTGAGTAAATTTGCAAGTATGTAAGACTTCTGGTGCAATAAAAGGTAAAACACCTTGATTTTGTGTGTCCTTTATTAAGCACAGCTAAGGTGAGGTAAAACACCTTGAATGGTTGAATTTTGTTGACGTGAATTCACCAATTGAGAAAGACCAAGATCGCATATTAACAAATCCATCTCTTTATGCAAAACTATGTTTCCACTATGAAGATCACAATGCACTAATCCCATGTGATGGATATTATTCAGATAATTTGCAATATCACTCAAATGCAGTAATTTATCCCTCCATGTCAATTTGTTAATATTTTGATCCAAATAAGACAAAAGACTACCATTTTTAGCATATTCCATAACAATAACATACTCTTTTGTTCCTGGGTCTTGTGTCACTCCATAAATTTTAAGGAATGAAGAACCATTTGCACACTTGGCATGATTTCTGAACTATTAAATACAGTGTCAAATTAAATATCACTTTAATTAATAACATCAACAATTGCTTACCTCAGAAATAAATAATTCTGGTGTTTCATCAAAATTCTTAAACCATTTGAGTACAACAGTTTGTGGTATACTCTCTTCTAAATATTTTCTATATCTGGCAGTATAAACTATTCCATAACCACCAGATCCAATCTCTTTGAATTCATAAAAGTCGCTATACTGTATGTACTTTACATCTCTGTTAAGTCGTATAAATCTATCCAATAGCGAGCGTATGTTGTGGTAGAACACTAAATAGTATTCCCGAGTAGATGGCTCCTGAGTGATCCCAATTATCCAGATATTCTCAGGTGTTAATATCTCCGGGTATTCCTTAGTTAGCTATTTGAGTAAACCAATACAGTTGTTAAACACACGATACACACATTATAATACTATATGCATTTTACACACGAGATAATTTACCTGATGAAAATCAAATAACTGATCGTTTTGTTTGTCAACTATCTTTTTGAGTGTCACGCGTGTCAATTCATTTGTTCTCCAATCTGCTACGTGTGTGCATCCATGATGTAATGATGCCATCTCTTGTATGTTTGTCAATAGAGAGTATTCAATCCATTGTATATACGTATCATATTCATTGATCACATTACTCCACGACTCCATAATGAATGAATCCAAGGATTTATTGCCCGTAGTCCAATCAGGAGGTATTGGGGATTTACATTCGGGACATAATAGTAATAGATTTATCTTAAGCTCTAATCGCGCTGTGCACGCCAGACATAATCCATATCCACAACATTCCTTTATTAGACAATACTTTCGTTTACTTGCATCATATGTGAATCCGATGGTATCCCAAGCATCCGTGGTAAGAATATATGGATGATCGTCACATAACTAGTGGATAAGATACATAATAATATGTCAATAGTTATTTAAACTATTCAATAAACATGACGCATAAGTAAATGGTTTACCTCGGCATAATATGAATCATGTGCATCATCTGTTATCTCAAGTGGAATCAATTTAACCCACCTAGTAGGCATACCATCCAAGTATCTATATCCATATCCCTCATCAGCGATACAATTAAATGGAATCCATTCCAAATAGACATCATTTGGTGAGTTTGTTTGTAATTGAGATTTCTTAACAAAGTCATCGAGTTGCTTATTGTTGCTAGTCCATCCATCGGATAATTGTTTATGCCCGCAAATGCACCACACGGGACTACATCGGAGTATTCCACATGCAGCGCAGAAGCCATATCGAGAATAACAATCGTAAAACTTTCTATCGGCAACCATGTAATACTTGTTATCGTATTTGGTGAATCCCTTTATGAGGTCGTTGCGTTCCTTAAGCCATACAGAGTATCTTCTAAAGTTGTCGCTATTATTATTGTGCTTGTATGTTGGAAGTGAGTATATTCTAGCAAACTCATGTATAAGTGTTGGCGTACAGGTTTTATCGCTTCCAAGCAATAATAATATCATCATAGTTCCAGAAATATTGTGAATGGCGCAGTAGACGTTGTCAATTTGACTTGACTCTATGTCGGTAATTTCCGACCAAGGAATCCATCCATTTACATAACAGGACTGAACTAAGTTATCAATTGCTGGATTATTAACAGTCTCTGATGCTAATACTAACGACATAGTTTGAAAAATAAAAAATTTTCGGTGTGAACAAATCTCGTTCTCTCAACGCGTGTGTTACATTGCACATTCCTTATTTTAGAATTCCTGATTCGTTATATGTCTAATACTTTTTCACAAGTGAGTCTCGATATAAGGACACTGCTATATAACGACATCTCGTTATAACGACAGGAATCTTAGAACAAAAATTATATATTGGTATGTAAATTAATTCTCGATATAAGGACATTCTCGATATAGTGACCATTTGGATTGGAACCGAGCGTGTCGTTATATCGAGACCCACTTGTACTACAAAAATATAACTATACGTATAGTAGCTCAAAAAAAAAATGACGTCGCAAGTAATTTACGAAATTATTAAAACGGACTCTAGAATAGAATTCTCTGAATCCTCTGCTTCAACGTGGTAGCCTGTGGCCTTGCTAGCTCTGACACATTCATCCCAATAATGTAATAAAGAGAGTAACTGACATTTTGACAGCTTAGTTTGCACAAGTTTTTTCGTGTTTTATTTATTTAGGATGCATAATAGACAAATTTTATTTACATTTTTGGCTGGTAAAATATGACGCTGAAATTACAAAGTCTAATTATTGTTTGCAATAGTTAAGCTTTTTTGTCGCACACACTGTATAAATATTAAAACTCAAATAAAAAGTCAAACCTAAACTGTCTCACACTCGCCAATGATTCAATGAAATTTGTCATCTAATTATCTACGTGTAGAAAGTAAAAAAAAAAAAAAAAAAAAAAAAAAAAAAAAAAAAAAAAAAAAAAAAAAAAAAAAAAAAAAAAAACAAAAAAAAAAAAAAAAAACTTTTTAAATCATAGTGAGAGTGGGACATTAATATTGTGTTTAGAAATCTCATTAATAAAAGCTATAATAGATGGTAAGTTTGTTTGTATTAAGTAGTTTAACTATTGTTAGGAGAAGCCACGCTCCATCAAAAATAGCTGTGCCGATTATCAATCGCTCTCCGTTAATCGTGGAGACAATTTAACGGGGTCTTCAGATTGGCGGAGTAGTCACATAAACCGAAGATCATATGACTAGATTACATCCTTCGGGTAGGGATTTTGACTAATGTTTAATACGTTACGGACTATCGAAACTCATTTTTAGCTAATGTGTATTGATATATACATGATAATAAAGAAGACAAATCGCGTACTACAATGATTGTATTAAGTCAAAAATTGAAACAGTTTCTTCGCAAATGAAATTCGCGTAAAATAAAATGGATCCATGTAAATCCGCGCGATCTTTATCAGACAACCGTAGGAAATACTAGGTGGCAGTAGTGTATCGGACAAAAATGACAAAATATTTTTTTTGTTAACATCCAACCACTTGATTACGAGAATGTCCTGATTGATGGTTCCAAATTTCAAAGATTTAATGTTTTTAGGCGGTAAAGCAATACTATAAGTTCAATGAAGCAAGCGGAAGTAACTCTTCCTATAATCGTCTATTTTAACTGGCGTAAGAACAACGATCTTATCCACTTTGGGTGAAAAAGATGCCTTTTTAAAATCACAAGAGCATACGCTACATCAAATAATGTTTAACAGTCAATTGCATTCTATATGCGAACGATAAATTGTATATCAACGACTGGATGAGAACACTTCCGCGGGGCCCCTAAATGAAATTTACGATAAGTTGGTTTAGTAGCCGTTTTTTGATTCGCAAGTCTTGGGTCATATGAAAAAAGTCGGTATAAAAAAGATCGTTATGCTTACAAACAATCTTTATTAGCCCTATAACCACTTCTGACTCTAGTTGATATGATAACTGTCAATAAAAATAAATGCGTCATGCAAGTCTATGTGAGTATGTAGCATTTCAATTCATGATTTTGACTAAAACTTTAATGTTGCATAGTTACTGTTATTATTATAATTGATTTGATTTAATATGGCTTTTATAAGCAAAGTAATAGTAGTCAAATAAACAAAATAACTAATAATTTTTAGATTCACGAATATTAAGAGATTTCGAACATTGTTGGGATGCTACAATTCTTATGCAATGTTCGTAGTACCAGCCTTACTTTCTATTGTGCTCCCTTATTCAACTCATCGGGCATATGGATGATAGTTATGAGTCCCGCGGACTTGCTGGCTGTTGTATATAGGACCGCCCCCACTGCTTTGAATACCGCTTGAGTATGAACGGATGGGTCCCCTCGAACTTCCACGGCCGTAAGCTGGAGAGCCAGGATGATGGTGATGATCCCTACCGCCACCATAACTTCCCTCATCCCTACTGGGAGAGCGGTGATACCCACTACTTATCCGACTGGCGGAAGAAGGACCGCCAATGGGAGATCCTCCTCCAGCCGATGACGGTCCACCTGACGTATATCCGCTGTCGTTACCTCTGTACCATTGGTTGTAAGAGCTGTTGCCTCGACTTCCAGAACCTCCATAACCGCCACCATATTGCCCATACGAATTCGCATACCTAATTGAAACAGATCGTGTGATATATAAAGGATAGAAACTCATTTGTGCAGTCGCAAGCAATATGTTACCTTGTATAATATTGACTGATGGCATTATAGTTACCATAACCACCGCCGTAATTGCTCGGATAATTGTAGCCTGCGTATTGGCCATATCCTCCGTAACCAGAATATGAACCAGGCGTCGCATAATTCATACCCGAATAACCAAGACTAGCATCTTTTCCAGTACCATATGGTTGTCCATATCTTGATACTGATGCCGAAGGCGGCATTGCAGACATGGCTGCCGCCGCCGAAGCAGCCACGGCTGATGATGAACCAAAGTTCTGCTGATTATACATAGACTGTCGTTGCGACTTGTGCTTCGGCATTGCACGCTTTACTTCAATCTACACAGAATATTATATTAACGAACAAAAGCCGAGAACCCGATAGAAACAATAACCACCTTCGTACCGGCTTATTCTTAAGATCAAGATCGTTCCTTGTCATCGCTTTCTCAACAGGTTCCGATGAGTCAAACGTAATAAACCCAAATCCACGCGGTCTTCCTGTATCACGATCGACCATCAAGGTCGCGTCGATTACATTGCCGAACTGTGAGAAGTAGTCTTTGAATTCGTCTTCACTGACATCCGGGGCTATTCCACCAACAAAGATTTTCTCGGTTTTTTCTTGTTCTTCTCTCGGTATGGCACGTTTTGGATCAATCTATATAGTATTATTATTGGAGTGGAAACCATAATAAATTGAGCGAGGAGACGTGATATCGATGGTCAACCTAAAATTCTATAAAACGGACCCGATGGCCAAACTAGCTGAAATAAGAGAGTGATCTAAACATCGCTATGCCATTAGTATGATCCATAGGCGAAGGGATCCTATTTGCATAGTCACAAGCCTATATCATGGTCGGACTCCCTCATTATACAGCCAAGTTAGTCTAACTACTTAACTACTTACTATTTTCCCATCCAACTGGTGCTCTTTAACCAATACGGTATTGACTACGGACGAATCCACAAATGTTAAAAAGCCAAACCCTCGTGATCTCCCTGTATTCGGATCTCTCATTACTACACAATCCGTAACTTCACCGAAACTTGTAAAGTAATTTCTAAGGCTTTCTATTAAATTGTAGAAGGAAATAATGATATCATAGTTATTATGGTAAGAACATACTACATATAATTGCATGTAATTTCATTACGACGATTACTGATGTATGTCAACATAGGCATTGATGGCAAGACAGCAAAGCAGAGGTTTATGGACACGATCAAAAATTCAAACCCCAACACGAACAAACGTCGCATTTGCCAAACATTGCCCACGTTGAGCTGCTTATGTAGTTCATTTATATTTTAAATTTGTGCATCATCCTTAAACAACATCAAAGATAATTGGCTTAAGGCAGATTGAAAGAAAGCGAGACACGACACCAGAAGTAACAATCGACATTAATGCCGAAAGGGTGCTAACACTAATTATAAGAATCTTACCATCAGTAGTTTCCCAATTAAGACCTCCTATGAACATCTTTCTACGGTAAACGTGAACGATATGGTACAAAAGCGAATATACCAAAGTAATTATGAAGGGTAGGGGAAGAAAAAAAATTAATCCTATTAGTGTGCGTTGATCTTTATCTAACAGAGAAGGAAAAAAACCTATGACAACATATCGCTCTATGTTGTTGTTCCTAAATTATCTATCTTGCACTCTCTCAATATACTAATGTTAAAGGAGTCGTGTCTTCTTTCGTTTCACAATTATCCAGCAAATAAGTATTGCCAAATAATGAAAACTAGATTTCTTCTTTGGAGTTATAGATTCTAAGCCACGCCAGTGTAGGTATTACAGCATAAGGCGATGTACTCGAAGCCAGCTTTGACAACTCAACGCGCATCTGTTGAAAGAAACGACTTCGAAAGAAGGCGGTCCCGAGAAGGCTCTCTGAGATTCCAAAATCAGCACCAAAACCCAAACTGGATGCTTACCCTTCCTCGTGAACTGGTTTCTTCTGCTCTAGTTGCTCTGGCTCTCGCTTGACATCGCCATCTTCAGAACCCTGAGCTGATCTTGGACGCTGTTCCTCCTGCTTCGAATCAGTAGATTGCCGTGAAGATGAACTGTCCGCAGCCATCTTTCAGAGTAAGTTACAGTTGCTTCTGTAGGGTGACTAGTAAGAAGAACTGATGCAACGCAGTAGCGTTCGTTTAAGTATACAACACTGTCAGAGTCCGAGGCAAACATGAACCCAGAACACCCACCTGCAGAAAAGAGACGAACCTGATGAGTGTAAAGCTAAATAAGTAAAGGAACGTCTGAAAAATATAGGCCAATATGACTAAAACAAAAGTGTTGGTCTGTTCGATCTATATGGCGAGAGAAAAATTTTTAGGGGGTTCTGCTTTGTTATTTTGTTGTCTCCGGGTGATAATAAATTACTTAAAGTGTCAAATGACGTCGACGTCTGCATGGTTAGAATCCGTGACTATTTCCGTGAATAGCCCAAAGTAGCGTCCGAACGCTAATCGAATATTTTATACAATTGATACTATTACTATTGTTGTTGGTGAAACACGACATTTTGTCCACTCTGCTAAAAACTCCAACATATTAATAGTATATAGCCATGACGTACTAGAGTATGGTGTGACTATTGTAACTATGGCGCTATATTGATTCACTATTACTATCGACGCTGTGATGGTCGACGTATTAGTATCGAGTGTCACACGGGTTACAATTATTATTGTCTCTATTAATACAGTTAAACCGTCGAACGACTTTCTGGACTAACTTAATTTAAAGAATCGACTTGGTTTTTTCCCGATTTAACGTCCCGTGCTGATGCACCTATCTATCTTTTTATTTTCTTAGCTTCTTCTCCAACATCGAGTGAAACCCATTACATAATTGTGTTATAAGGAACTGTATAGCGTTTTCGCAACTGCCATTCGATTGTATGTTTAGAGAGGTAAATACGAGAAATATTATTCAACCGAAGCTTTTTCAGTGATACTTTCTAGTAGAGGAGCACCGGGACTTCTGCTACATCTTTTTCTTCATCAACGGATTCTTGGGGAAGGCTTCTATTTTAAACTGGTAAAAACCAATTGCGAATCTTTTTAAATGTTAATGACAATATTTATTAAACTTTTTGTTAACGTTAATCACCGCAATAAACCCAAATAAAGTAATTATTTCCTAACCAACCGGTTGAGTATGAGCAACAGAGAGAATGGAAATGGTATTAAAACTTAATTCCCGTTTTTTTTTTCATCGATGGAATGATAAATTGTCGTGTTTTTCTTTCGCGTTTCAATAAGTGCTTTCTTGTCTGCATTATACCGATACCGAGGTAAATCACGTGAAATATTCAATAGTTTTAATCAATAAAGATGTTTTCTGGTTTTCAATGTTACGTCGTAGCATTGATGATGACCTTTAGACACAGAAATACATGCCGGCTGATATAAGAAAACTAGATAGCATTCCCTTCTGCTGGTAAACCAAACTTTCACCGCATGTTGACTATAGAAGTATTTTGCAGAAATGCAATAAGAAGTCGATCACGTGACAACATTCGATTTTAACGTTTGCACGTCAACGGGCGCGTATAATAAGCAACACCCCGGTATGCGAAATACCGAGATTAAGAGATATATTTCAGTCTGAACAATCATTCATTAAGATAGTTTTTTGTTTATAGTTACCAAAACTGCATTTTAACTGAATCAGCAATACCATATACGGCGTGTTGGATGGTTACTCCTTAGTGATTTAGTATTATGAAAGTTTTCATCAAGAGCGTGCAACAGAGCAAATTGTAATAAATGATAAATAAATATTTAGACTAGAGTTAACAAGGACGTACCCATATAAAAAAAGCCTAAAAGTAGAAGTTATGCGCCATTCAGATTACTTACTTACTTGGTTAAACGTTGCGGTCAAAAAAAGTGGTTAATCTTGAAGAAGAAAACAGGCACATAACATGGACAAGTTGAATCAAGTTATGAATAAAGAACGGGACGTTTTTCGGAGACAGTGCAAACCGTTATTTTGTTCATTTAGAGGACTGAAAATTAGTTTGCTACAGTATGGTAACGAATTAATAAAGTAACTTTCAATCGTCCAAGTATGTATGCGATAGTGGAAACGTATGGTATTTGATTACCACAATGAATTCAATAAAACGAAGATGTGAGCTAATAATAGAAAAGAATATTCTATTATGTCCATTCTATAATGAGAATAATAACTCTAACAGTGGCGCTTCTGAGCCTATACAATAAGAGTTGAATTAACAATTCGATAAAAATAATACCAGTTCAAAAGTATATTGTAGGAATCTGCTCCGAAGACTTTCATTCGTATCAGACTGTTCTCCATTACTGAGTCACTGCTTGTGATCCAAATACTTATTATTATTATAATGATAATAGGTTCTCGTACATAACATACCAATCACTAAAACGAGTCCTGGGTACCAATAACCGTATCTAGCAGTAAAGACAACAAATATAAAGACTTGATAAATTTCTTCGCCATTTATTTGTTTGACATTACAGATTAGCTAACTAACTATTGCAGTAGTCTATCAGTTTTTGCAAAAAAAGGCGGGCTCGATTTCTCTTCACAATATCAAAACGCTCGTTTTTTAGAAATAAAATTTCCTATTTTTTGCAGTACAGATCACATGAACATCATTGAGAATGGTTCATTGTTTCTGCAAGATTTTAAAGCATTTAATATTAACTGTTCATGAATGTATGCTGTTTTTTGATACCACGTGAGACCAGTTAGAGGATCTACAGTTGTTAACGGTATGTTTACTATTACGGTTACACATGTATCCATAACACCAAGTCTTATCAATTAATAATAACTTCTGAACTTAACAAGCAAACGTTGCGAGAGGTGTAGTTGGGCTAGACAGTGATGCAGTGATACAATAGATTGAAACTATGATCTGACATAGTGTTATTTGATTATCACCTTGGTGAAATTATCGTAACTACCATTATAATTGTTACCTTGCGCAGAACTTTTCCGGGCGCATATGAAAAACTTGGTTAGGTGATTGTTATTATATAAAAGGCAAATGTTACATCTGTACAAATCTATAACTTTGACCACCCAACTGACCACCAACTTTATCCTTTTTTCTTACTCACATTCAACTCGATGATAACAGCAGGAAAACACTTCAGTGACACTGAATCATTGGAAAGGGTCTTCGAAGGCCCCGAAAAATTACTTGAAATCTGGTTTGAACCTTTACCCGATTTTTTACCGGCTGATGTTAATGGTCGGAAAGGATTAAGAAAAGTTGAGAGGGCTGTTTGGGATGAACTGCTGGGAATGGTGGAATGTAAAATATTGAATGTTGTCAGCAGTGACGACGTTGATGCATATCTGTTAAGGTGGGCGGCTTATTGTGTAGTTTATTATTAAAGACTGACTGTCATTGTGTTCGCAAGAAGGAGTGACCCCCAGTTTTTGTCCATTGTAGTGAATCATCCATGTTTGTATACCCACATAAACTCATTTTGAAGACATGCGGATCTACTGTACTCTTAATTGCCATACCCAAGTTACTCGAGATCGCATCCGAGATGTGTGAATTGAAAAGAATATGGCGAGCATTCTATTCGAGAAAAAGTTTCATGTTTCCTGAAAGGCAACGACATCCGCACACTGATTGGAAGGATGAAGTTGTTTTCTTGGACAAAATATTTGGTATGGATCAGCTTGTTGAACAGTTGAACAAGTATTACTGACAGTCAACGAACCTCACATCTACAAAAAAAATGTTGAAATTTAGGTCAAGGTGCAGCATATGTAGTAGGAAAAATAAATGGAGATCATTGGAATTTATACATGACATCGCCGCAAGATGACTTTCTAATCTCTAACGTTGACGTTGGCTCATCTGGTGACTTTTCTGATCAGACGATTGAGATCCTAATGTCTGACCTCGATGAAGATGCGATGAGGCCGTTCTACAGTATTAATGGCGAAACGATGTCATTAGGAGGGGAAAGAATAAACAAACAGACCGGCCTGGGTCGGCTGTACTCGTCCGCTCTGTTAGATTCATGCCTGTTTGATCCGTGTGGATACTCGGCTAATGGACTTCTTGGAAACTGTTACTTTACTATCCATGTTACTCCTGAACCTAATTGTTCATACGCATCTTTTGAAACTAACATCCCTTATTCATCACATGGATCCATGTCTAACCTTATTCGTAATGTTATTGACGTATTTCGGCCTGGGAAGTTTAGCGTCACCTTATTTGTTAGTGTTGAAGATGGGCGAGATAAGAAAGCAGTTGTTGAATGTTTGGGCGATGTTGGTGGTTACACTAGAAAAGATAAAATGTTGTATGAGTTTGATGGATATGATTTCTTATTTGGACACTATGAAAAGGGTGGTTGACACATAGCTAAGAAGACAATTTTTGTAAAAGTTTTGGATATAGTCTCGTATTCGGACACAGGAAATAACATGGATAAAAAAGCGGCCAATATTTTACCACACCAAATATTATATCGATCAAATCAAGTAATAAAAGAATTCTTTTTTGGACCCTTTCCAATCTTGGGTTGGTGGTGCTAATCTTTCACCATTTACTCTTTTGATTAACCGGTTTTTTATATAAATGTGGGTATTCTGAACCGCTCCCAGGACGGCTGCACTATACAATATAACTCTTGCTTTGTTTTACTACTATGAAAAGAAAGCGTACTGGTTGTCTTGCGAATTTAAAAATGCTAAATGGGTGACTACGTCAGCTTGGACAAAAGCTTACGTTTAAGATGGTGACGTCATAATAACAAACTACAAATTATCGTTTTATTTCTGGAAAAAAGAAATGTCAGCCAGTCAGAAACTTTCTTTGTTCTCCACAACCCACGAAGTATGTAATATTATTCGCGAAATAGAATCAGCAAAGTTTGTGTTGTTTTTGTATACAGTTTTATTGGATTTGTTGGTAATATTCTGATATTTTGTGGGGATCAGTTTCTACACTCTTTGTCTGTATAATCGACACTAAGAAACCTCACCCAAGTTTTCTTATGCGAAGAAAATACTAGCAGCTATAATTTTAATATGCCATTTCAGTTTATTAAT